TGTGTTTGTGTAGCCATATCTTCAACGTGACCCGCTGAAGGAGTCGGCACGTCTGAACGCCGCGTGGCGTAAACACGTCCCGGCGGGGGAGCGACGACGTCTGGTAAGATAGCAGCTGATAACGGCTGATAACGGCAGATAGCCATAACTCCATCATGGCCGCCCCCGACGTGGGGCATGTGAGGAATCCAACACACACAAACAAGCGCACACACGTGTGTGTGTGGAGGGGGTCCTCACACTCATTTGTACCTGCCAGTTGGGGGTAGGCAACAGGTTGGGGGTGTGACCTCAATCAGACCGGCGCTCAGAGAGCCAGAACGCGTCACTCGGACGCAACGTTCTTTTCTAAACGACGGGTCAAATGTGCCACGTGTGTGTACGGGCATGAGAGAGAATGTGAGTGTGTGGTTGTGTGTGTGTGTGTGTGTGTGTGTGTGTGTGTGTGTGTGTGTGTGTGTGTGTGTGTGCTGTGTGGAATTTTGAGAGTATTCTAAGCGGGTGTTAATGTGAGTGTCTGAGTGTGTGCGTGTACTACGTTGGTTGTGCGCGCATACTACGTGTGTGTTATCGGGCATGTTGCTTATTGTGCCAAACATTCTTCTTTGCACTGCTGCGTTGAAACCTGCGGGCACCCTCATCAAATCAACACGTGTTTGTTCAACTGCAAAGGGGGCGGGCGGCAGAGACGGCGAGCAACACTCAGATGGATATCGTGCATAATTAGAAGCATGTATTGAAGCAAACCATATTCACTTGTGAACATCCTCGAGCTTCATGCTAGCGCACAATACATAAGGCCGTAGACATGCTAGTGAAACGAACATCATTGCTGTGGTATTTAGAGGCCTTTGAATAGCTTGTATAGATATGACTACAAACGATAGCGACACATGTTGATAGAGGATACAACAAAACTCAAAGGCATACCTTCGCTACCGCTTAGTTGCGACAATCTTCTCTTATTGTCTGTATACATTATATGGCCCGCTGATGGTTAAGGCACATGCACCAGACACAACCGATTGGATGACTACATTAAAACATGATTCTTCAAAGGTTTAATTCTTTGCATTGTTTTAATTGTGTTATTACACTGTCATTACTATGTTTTTATAAAGTACAAAACTTTAGAGGACTATTTTGCCTATTAAAATGTTAATTACCTTTTTTTGTTGGTGTTTTGGGAGCGCATCATTTGATTTTGAGTGTAAGTAAGTAGCGAGGCCTCTGTCTCCATAAAGGTGGACCGTTAGCCACGATTCAATCAATCCAGCCCATTGATTCGGCGACGATATCTCCCCCCGTTTATGGTGCTCATTTTAGCGCTTAACTTTTTGGGCCAAAGAGCGCGGCTGTAAAGATCGCCCGGCCGTGACTTTACACGAAAGAAAAACACCCGCGCTGGCTTTTAATTGTCGGCCGTTAAAATTAACGCCGCGTGACATTTTACGGCCGCTCTCCTGTCTGCCGATATTCTGCATTTCGATGCAGGAGAAGTGGCCATGATGACCCCTGACCTAATTCTTAATTCTATTGAGAGTCTCTTTATGGGGGACGTGGGAGTGAGCGTTGATTTAAGGGCATAGCACTTGGGGCCAATACTGCTGTTCCCTGCACCCCAAATATCATTTGGTGTACTTTCATGCGGACCATCTTGCATTTATGTGGTAAAATACAACCTTTTGTGATCAAGATTGTAATTTTGTGCACAAATATTGAACTTGAACCCTTGGCCTGATTCTTGATTCCATTCGTCACACCGAGAGTTCCCGTTAGGTGCGCCGGTGCTTTAATTGCCACGACGGGGGTGCACCAGGGGGGCGTAGGAGTCAGCATTGATGTGAGAGCATGAAAGATCAACGCAAATGTCAGGCTGCCGCTTTCCCCTCAGGGGAGGGCGGCCCAACTCCGAGCCAGAATGAAGAAAATGTTTCCATTTTTTTGCCGGTGTTTAGGCGCACGAGGCCACTGAACAAGTGTCAGCAATCTTTTGTCATTCCATCCATTTTTCTCCGTTTGCCATTTTTATGGCATTTTGATGCTAAAATACAACCCCCTGTCCATCACAATTGTATTTTCCCGCATGAATAAGGCACAAATTATTTTTGGTCATAACATGTTGACGTTTTCAAACCAAATTTATGCCTTTTTTTCTCTCTCTCGGTAGTACAACTATTGTCTTGTAAAAATTATGACTGTGGTTAAGTTCTGACTTTTTCCTCTGACGTTTTGTCATGCAATTACCACATTTTTCATAAAACTAGGATTTTTTTTTTTTTTTTTTAAACAGACTCTTTTTCTACTCAAAATGAAAACTTCTGTTCATAACTATTACAATAACTACCGGGTACATAACTATTTTCCAGTAAAATTAAAATTCCCTCAGTATGTTTTTTCCTCCAGATTAATTTTTTTTTCTCTGAAAACTGTGTGAATATTCTTTTAAAATTGTAAAAAAAAAAAAAAAACAACTTTCATAACATTACTACTTTTTCTTGAAATTATGCCTCTTTTTCTCTCAATATTTTAAGTTCTGTTGTAACAATTATTACTTTTGGTCATAAATTTACCACCTTGCTCAAAATTACATCTGTACAGTTTTTCTGCCTCGAATTTTATAAAAACTTTTTTTTCCTACTAAAACAACACATTTCTTGTAAATTTGTGAGTTATTGTCTGCCTTTTTCCTGTTAATATTATTAATTTTTTTCCCCTTAATTTTATGACTTTTATCACAAAGGTCCAACTCTTTCTTCCTCCTAAAAATGACAACTCTATTTGCAGCACAGCAACATTTTTCCATAGGCACGTATTTCAATTCAAAACGAAACCACAAGTGTCTTTTTTTTTTTTTGGGTGGTGGGGGCGGGGTTCACAAAAATGTGAGCAGTGAACATCTTCAGCTTCCGTAACTCATCAGGCCTGCCACCATCCGAGCAGATTGCGGAGTGCTCGCCTGCACTCGACCTGGATGGCGACGCTCGCTGCCGCGTTGCCATGGTAACGGGCTGGCAGCCACTGTGAGAGGCTGCGCTCTTCTGATTTAAAGGCTGCCATCTGGACTCAGATTGATTTTTCTTAAAATAAAAAGGACAACAAATCAGCTCGTTACCTTGACGATGTAAAAGTGCTTCAAAGCAACAAGCGGCCTGGACCTCATTTTTAGCTCGTTTAGCTGTTTAATAATAAGTGTTTATTCTTGTCTCAGACCAAAATGTCGTAGGGTCATTTTGGATATTTCCGGGATATTTGGGGGATGATGTTAAATTGTGATCCGATTGTGTTTTCAGCATTGTAAATTTGATAAATTGCAGAGAAACAAAAAAAACTGTTCAAATCTCAGTTTATAAAATTCAGCCCAACGAAGCCAGTTTCACTTAGCAACGTGAACTTTGGTGGGCATGTTTATAGAAGTAGACCCACCAAAAAGCCGTGCATAAAAACACAACGTTTTGATTTGAAGTGGCCATTTTTAGGTTGGTTTGGGAAATTTTCTGGGGTCCTCAAAATATTTTTGAAAATTCAACCCCGGATGCCAGTTTCACTCAGCAGCAGGCAATTTGGTGGGAATCTATCATCAGTAAACGCAAAAAATGCCTGTAGAAGCAATGTCTAAAAATTGCCAGGCATTTTTGAGACGTTTCCTTTGTCCTTCAAAATTTGGGAACATTTGGTCCCCGGAACTATATTCACTTTCCAACATAAAATTTGGTAGGCGCAGCAAAAATGATCCAGAAGCCATGCCTAAAAACACACAGTAAGTTGGCTATTTTGGTTTAAAGTGGCCCCATTTGGGAGATTTTCAGGGGTCTTTCCAAAAAAAAAAAAAAAAACAAAACAAAACAATAATTCAGCCTCTAAATTGAGTTTCACTTGGCAGGGTTGAATTTGGTACACGTCTATAATGAGTAGACCCACAAAAAGGTCTCAAGAAGCCATGCCTAAAAATTCACAGGAAGTCTGGCATTCTTGTTTGAAGGGGTCCTTTCCTGGTCACGTTAGCCATTTCCAGGAGTCCTTAAAACACAAACCACTCCTCCATGTTTTGTCTGATTGCTCCTAAATTTGAAGCACATTTTAAATTTGTGAGACTAAACTGTGAAGATTTTCTTTGTTATGATTGCATGTGGGCGTAGCTTGGAGATCAAGTTTGAAGACTGTTCCCTGAATGCCTCCCTGACAAGCACGCCGGTCTTGAAGTAGAGCAGCAGGAGCAATAATGAGAAACGTTTATTGATTTTTAAACGCAACCTTTTCGGGGGAGGGGGTTGCTCCATTTACGGCTCGACTGCGCTAATAATTTTTTTTTTTATTGACGGATGCATTAGTGATGAAAATTCCACTGGGAGCAGTTGCTTGTTCAACTTTTCAGCGGCTTTGAAACATTTTGCTGAGGGAAGATCGCGTGTTTGCCGTCACTTTTTTTTTTTTTTTTGGCTCATCAATTCGGCAGGCTGGATTTTATTGCAGACTACCATGTTGTTATTTTTTATCATTTTTATTGTCTTTTCACAAAGGCGACTTGATTGCCTTTCAGGGACATTTAATTGCTTTTATTCAGGTAACTACATCACCTGTGATTATCATTATTATTATGAAAAAACAAACTCTGCAAATAAATGAGCCTTTTGCATGTTTCTCATAGAATTTTTGTGTTGTTTTGTTATTAAAATAAGCAGATTTTTTGGGGGCCTTTAATTCATGTATTATAGCGGTAATTCAATTCTGTCAAATAAAATCACCCTTGTGGGAGACTTAAATTATTTGTATTTATTTATTTGTCACATTTTTAAATTTGCAACATTTTAAATATTATTTTATGCACCAAACCTACCAAAAAGTTTGTTTCTGCCTCTTTCCGTACCAGCAGTAAGTCACAGGTTGGTTTCCACAAAAACGCCGGTTTCTGACCAAAAAGTGGAGGAAAAAAAATACTTTTTTTTTTTTTTGTCAAACATGTCAAGCAGAACAGTGGCTTTGGTGCTAATCTATCTCAGTTCACTTGGCGGTTAAAGGAGCGGTCGTCACCATGACAACGTCCATGGCCGGCCTCCTCCTGCTGAGGCTCCTCCTCCTCCACATCGCCCCGCTGACGTTGAAGGCGGCGATGGCTCATCCCAACGCTTCGTCTGCGTTCCCGACCGTGTCGCTTTTCCAACCACTCACTCAGCCCGAGTGCGCCAAGAAAGAACATCCCAAAGTATCCACACAAGGTTAGACGCCCGTTTTTCGCTGTCCTTAGCGGTGTGAGCATGTTAGCGAACAAAAGGCGAAATCGATGTGGTTTTATATGACATCTGAAGACATGTGAGCGCCGCCTAGAAGCATGTTGCGTATTCTCTTTAGAAGGAAGAGAACCAACGGTTGTGTTTGGCCCATCAGCACAAGGTTAGCGATCGGCCCGTCATGTCGATTCTTTTGCGTCGGTTCTCTATTTGGCATCGTTACAGTGCGCCGAGAAGCACGGCTTTCAATTGTTTGTCTCGCTTCTTGCCCCCCCAAAAAACAAAACCAAACCAAAAACTAGCTGCAAGTGAAATACAAAAGCCAGAGGAGCTGCATTGAATATCCCGCGATAACTTGAAAAATCCAATCAGGAGGGCGCCGCCTAGAAAGCCGCCCTTTGACACAGCCGTCCCTCGTGTCTTGGGTTGAATGTAATTAAAAAGCAACAAAGTTCCTGGTCTGCCAAAGTACACTTATGCTTGAACATTTGAAGGTAGAAAAATCCAATTGGTCGAGCGCCACCTTTGATACCAGCCGTCCTAAATGTCTCGGATTGAATATTGTCACTACAGAATCAAGGTCTCTGTGAAAGAACACCATTTTTTTTCCAAGTCAGAAAATCCACGGAATACTTTCATCAGTAGAGCGCTGCCTTGAAGAGGTACATTTTTTTTTTTCAATGGCTACCGCAAATGTCCGGGTTCAAATGTCATTATAAATCACCGGAGTTCTTGCTAAAAAACAAACAAACAGAAGAACACTAAGCCCTTAAACGTTTGAAGACTTGAACATTCCAGCTGCTCGAGCGAGTGCCGCTGAGAAGGAGACGAAATTGAATTGAAGTGATTCAAGTGAATGCGGCGCCTGTGATCGATCGGTGTTTTGTTGTTTGCTTTTTTTTGGGAGCGTGGCCTCGCTCACCTGCACCACAAAGCCTGAATGGTGACCGGATTAAAACCCAACAATGGCTAATGCTAACGGTTGGGGCGAAACATGCCGGACAAAAGAGGATGGATTTGAATCAGAGTGGTGGTCGAGCGTCGCCGGGAAATGCGCCAGTAGCACTTCAAAAGCGCTATCTCAGAATTCCCTGGCAGTATCAATTCATATTGCTCTGACATAGAACGTGAATCACTTCATACATTTCCAGTACTTGGAATACGCTAGGTTTGTAAACGGTGTTTTTCAATCGCCGCGGTACGCTAATCCTCAAATGGTTCCAACATTCCCGTTGAAAGAGTGCCCCGTCGAACAAGCTAACTTGGCTCCCGAAAATGTCATATGTTGTCAGTCAGGAAAGTGTAGAGTTCTTGTTTGACCAACGCCCACGTTTTGAACACCGGAACGATTAGCGCACCGCTTAGAACCTTGCTCTAACATGATCGCGCCACTCGCCATTTCAAGTGCTTGGAAGAAATGTATTTACAATGTATGAAGCAAAAGAGTTCTTGCGCTGACAAAGAACACCCTTCCACGAAAAATGCCAATTTCTAGAGCGCTGCCTAGAAACCCGTATGGATAGAATCATATCTACTCGCTATCTCAGATCTCTTGAAGACCAAATCAACCGGGTTCTTGTTCCGATCAAACATGTCCTCGATAGTTTCAAGGTCATTCCCAAAATGAGCGTCAACTCTGAATTTTGTCCGAAAGGCCATCTTTTGGTCATGATTCTAGGCGAAACCCGGTCTTATTTTTATTTTTTTTAATTCCATGTTTCTACGTGGTCAGTCGACTGTTAGCTCTCCAAAAAAGCGTCTGTCTTTTGTCAAGGTTCCGACGCAGCACTCCAGCAAATGGAACTTTCACTCCTGCCGTGATAGTCGGAAAACTCGTAACACTGTGCCAACATTGACGCCGATGCTGCAGCCGCCTTGAAATGGGCTAGCGGACTTTGTATTGTACTCGTGTTCCTAGTCAGCCCCTCCATTAAAATTTACTTTTCAAGTGATTTGCTGTATCTATTTTTTTTTTGTGACTCTCAGGGCGCTGCTTTTGCAGCTCGCAAGTTTGTTAGTGAGTAGATAATCTTCACACCTTTTTCTTTTCCCCACCGCATGCAACAATATCCGTAAAGATGAAGAGGATCTTCCCCGCGGGATGGAAAGGGAGACGGTAGCGTTCGCTTTAACGTCACCTTTGGCGGAGAAGTAATCCGTTGAATAACCGCGCACGTCGTCACGCTCCGCTTTCCCACCAAATCACAGCAAACTCCCGGGAGAATTGCGCAGAAACAAAGCCGCTCGTATTTATTTGGCCTCTCTTTCTCCATTTACGCACACTCCCGCCTGCCGCTTGACTCTTTATTAATCTAATTTGCACTCTGCTCTCCGTCTCGTCTCTGTGCCGCGAATGCAACACATTGCATCAACTTGTGAACCGAGCGCTCGGGTAATAAAATCTTAAGGGGGGGGTCGGGGAAGGGGCGGGAGGGGAAAGACAACGACAACAACAGGGTACAACGCGGCGTTCTTCCGTCTTCAGTCTTGATTACCGAGGCGGCCCTAATTGGAGCTGCCGCGCAAGCGTTTGCGGCCCATCAATCATCGAGCTGGAAAGGCCGCGACGGGACTGCCGGTTTGAAAGTTAGAAAGGTGATGCGAGCGAAGGCGGCTTGAGACTGAATTGGAAAGAATGACTTGTTGATACCGCCCTTAAAAACTCCCTCATCGACGGCTATCGACGCCGCCGAAGCTAATCCTGCCCTTCAATCAAAGTCAACTTTTCCTTTTTTTTTTTTTTTTTTGCTGCCCTTCAATCAAAGTCAACTTTTTTTTTTTTTTTTTTTTTCATATCCGAGTGAGTAGGCGCCGCCACGGAGGAGCTCTTTTTATTTCTTGGCCGCTTTGAACAATCCCAAAGTCTTTAAAGCTGGCGAGTCGGGAAAGGAAATCAATCCCATAAAGCCTGGCTTCCGTTGCGACTCTCTGAATTAGCATGCTAAGGCTAATGTGAGAGAAAAGACAAATGTTTGGATTGTTATCACTCCGGAGCGACGTGACTTGTGTCGTTACAAGTTTGGAGATCACTTGTTTTGTCGAGTGCCAAATAGGGTCTCTAAAAAAAATTGTTGGGCTCTTCCTCTCACAGGCCGCTGGATTTTGAGCGGTTGTCAGTGGCTTTGAAATTTGCCATCTACATATTTGATGTTTTATGGTTGGGACAGACGTTTAATTAGAAATTTGCCTTACTCTTACTGGCCTTGCGGTTGTTGATGGGACTTTTGTTGTGAAAATCTACCATTTACAAACTGGCTGCTTGTCATTTTGATTTTGGAAATCACAGTAAGATCAGGTGCATATGATGTACAGGTATATATATTGCTTGTGACTTTCATCGTGAAAGCCATAATGTTGGAACTAATAGTTGTGTGGTTGCGCTTCAATTTTATTGTGAAAGTCAGCCCGCGTGTGATTCTTTCAAGATTTTTATTGTGAAAGTCATCGTATACAAGCTGGGTGTTTTTAACATTTATTCCATTTTGAAATAAAGCTGTAACATTACGAGTGAAGTTCTGAGAATGTGTTCTCGATGAACACCGATATAGTTTGTTTTTTTTTTTGTCCGCGCCACACAAAACATGGCAGCAAAATAAAAACTCCAAATAATGATCGGGACCTGGCAGATAAACGGTGAGGGAAGGGGGACGCGGAGGGTGGGGGCCTTACCGTCCCAGCTGTGCGCCGCTTATGAGGGGATTGAACAGGCGGCGCGTATAAAAAAAGCTTGTAAGCGGGAGGATAAACGCCAATCATCCTCACCGTAGGAATTCTCACCAGACGGATGTTTACTCTCTCTTAACGGAGAACATGAAGGGGGCGAGGCCCAGTAATGCTTCCTGATTGGAGATTAAATATTGTACACAGTCATTATTTTAGCTCACTGCTTTATTTGTCTGATGCTACGCGATGCTAATTTCTCTAATGCGAAAATGAGCTAAGGCTTATTTCCAACCCATTGCTTAATGCTATTCTCCCTCTAAGGCTAAATTGTTTTAGGCTCTTCTTTCTCATGCGAAAATATGAGCCGTCATGCTTTGCTATGCTAGGCTATGCTAAGCTATGCTTATAATACTTTTCTCTCCCCCTCAGCGCTTGGTCCGTGGATGTCCACGTTCTCCTGGGCTGGCGTGCGGGATTTCTCTCAGCTGACGCTCGACCTCGCCAGGAATGAACTCATTGTGGGCGCCAGGTGCGACACACACACACACACACACACACACACACACACACACACACACACACTTATACAAGTACACACACAGAGGCGCTCATATTCTTCCCCCCCTCGCAGGAACTTCCTGTTCAGACTTGACCTCAGCAACATGTCTTTGATCCAGGTAAGACCATCTTCTTTCTCCTTGCCTTAAACTTGTCCCATGTTATGACTGTGTTGTTGTTGATCTTGTAATTTTATTTTGAAAGTCACAAAATGATAGATGGTGATGTCAGTTAGTGTAGTAGGGTCGCCTGTGGGTCTTTTATTGTGAAAGGAAACATGTATGGAAACAAGACGTATGTCATATGGTGTCGTCCATAATAAAAGCCCAGGAGCAACCAAGAAACATGCCGCTTGCACACGCTAACTTTCACTATAAAAGTCCCAGAGTAACATTTTGTGTGCTGTCAGGTTTGTGGAGCTTTTACTTTTTAAAAGTGACTGAGAGGTCAGACGTCAATCAGATATTTTTAGAAACAATTTCCTGCTCGGTAGCGACACAAAGATGGCGGTGCCAGGGCCACATTATTGCTTTTTAGATGCAGTTGTGCATGTGCGTGTGCATGTGTGTGTGCGCGTGCGTGTGTGTGTGTGAGACGAACAAGACATTTGCATTCATTAGAGACATTCCAGAACAATCCAGCGCAACACCCGAAGCGCTACCCAGACACGGAAGGCCACAGGTTATTGTGCTGTTGATGATGATTTTGGGTTTGTGGGGAAGCCTATGAAGCAGTGGGGTGGGGCGGGGTCGTAGGGCGGCGTGCAGGTTACTAAGCCGAGGCCCGTGGGAGCTCACCTGTCTGCTACCAGCATTAGCGAGCAGGCAAGCAGAGACGCTGACTGCACAGCCAATCACTGCGACAAATAAAACGCACACAGGAGATACACACATACAGTTACTTGTTTGATTTATCAAAATAAAATCGAGAGAGTACCTCGACGTTTTTGCTGCACTTTTATTGTGAAAGTCTATCATGAATGAGTTGGACGCAGTGTGTGGGCTCATGGACTTTTATACGTCAGCTGAACTGCTTATTATCAATAGCAGTTAGTCTATTTACAGTCTTGACCTAAAAATGTTCGAATGAGACCCTTTTATTTTGAAACTCTGCAGCTGCAAGCCTTGGAATGAACACAAAAGTGATTCACTGTTGTATTATGATTTTTTTTTTCCCCATTACAGCAATTTTGAATATTATGAACAGACTCAGTAATATACAGCCATCCAGAAAAGGATACATAGCTCTGCTCCCACTCAGACTTTCCCCGGGCGGCCCACGCCATCATTTTTCTGCTTCCTTCTGTTTTGTTTTTTTTTTTCTCAAACTCCTTTCTGTGCTGCCGCGTGGGATGCGGGCCGGCGCCGCATTTAGTACCGGGTCTGATGCCTGATTGCCGCCCACTCGCGCTGTCCCACCTGCGCCCGCTGACAGAGCGCCCACTCGGGGGTCCCTCTCGCAAACACCCCCACTCGTCCCCCGTCACCGCTGTAGAACAGCAGGCGGAAGGTGGTGGGAGGTGTGTGTGTGTGTGTGTGTGTGTGTGGGATGGAGGCTAAAAAAAAATCTCAAGTGTCTGACGGGAGCAAAAGAGGAAAATGAGCTTTTATGCATTTCTCATTATTTGCATCTAATCTCAAAGTGTCTGACGGGAGCAAAAGAGGAAAATGAGCTTTTATGCATTTCTCATTATTTGCATCTTTGCATAAGCGCTCACATTCATAACCTCGCGGGAAGTCATAACAATCAAAAAAAAAAAAAAGCACAATAATAACAACATCTGTTCATCATATTGGATATTATTACTGTGTCGATTTGGTTCCCAGTAGCGCACAAGCAGCGATAACATCGTCACAAACACCTTTTATTCAAGGCGGTGTTTTATGTCATTCATCACAATTAAGGCAGGTAGGAAGGAAGGCAAAAGGAAGAAGGAAGAGGAGAAAGGAAGGCAGAAAAAGAAGAAAGGATGTATGGAAGGGAAGGTGGGAGGGAGGCAAGAGATGGCCAAAAAAGGAAGGAAGGGATGATGTAAAAGGAAGAAAGTTGAAACCTACGCTTGCTACAGATTGGCTATAACCGGCTTTGAAACCCTAATCCTGCCTTGATACCTTATTTTGGCATCCGTGCCCTTTCCTGATATGACTATGAAATAAAACAAGTTCATCTGGGAAGCGTTTATCGGCGGTGAACGTGTAAAGTCAATGTAAGGCGTTGACTTTCTTTTGGCCCGACTGGTAGAATCTAAAATATTTGTTGTGTTTCTTGCTTTTTTAGCGAACCTGCCTGTGCTTGCTTTTGAAGTGGCTCATCTGTGATCTGCTTGTGTTTGTTTGTGGCGTCTGGAGAGTGAGCATCTGTCAGATAATCCCAGCGCGGATAATAAAAAGAAAAAGAAAAAGGCGGCTGGAATGTCAACACGGTGGCGATTCCGTATCTGGAGCTCATCTTGTTTGACATCATGACACCGGCTCTTGCAGCAACAGTCCCAAACTCACTGAATCCCTCAGATGATAGCCGGGATGATAATTTGACACGTTTGTGGTGTTTTGCGTTTGTTTGTCTCACAACCATGCTGTCGGTGCAGTCTCGAGCTTGGACGGGTGTTTGCCCGTTTACGGTCCTATTGAAAATTTTTGCTCTGGAATGACCTACCTAAACCCCCAAACCCAATTCCTAGATTAAACCCGTCCTTAACTCTACCCCTAATCTGAACCCTATGCTCAAAGTTGACCTCTACACGACACCCAACCTTGAACATAAATCCTATGAGTCAGAACCATACCTGAGTTAGGATTTGGGTTAGGACTTAAGAATTTAGACCTTAGAATTATCCATCTATCCATCCATCCATTTTCCATCCATGAAATAATTCTGCATGGAAAAACTCACAGCTGTGTGGACAGCCTTTGGCTCTCAGCGTGTTTCATCGCAACCTCTCGGTCTGGAAACAGGAAGTGGTCCTCGCTCAAACGTCCTCAGCCGCAGGAGATCTTTGAGACCGTTGCAAAACACTGTTGGGAAAATAAATGCCGCTGTTGTTTTAGCTGCTGTGTCTGGGCTCCGAACTCCCTCTGGGCCTGAGGTGGAGGTCTTAAAGTCTTTCCATCAGATCTTTATTTGAGGTCTTATACGCAAAGTGTGTTCTTGAGGTCTTTGCTGAGTTTTTGGGAGGTAGCTTCAGATATTTCTTAAAGGCCTCCTCCTCTAGATCTTACCTGTTAAAACATTTCTAGGTCTTTGCTGAGTTTTTGGCAGGTAGCTTCAGATGTTTCTTGAGGACCTCCTCCTCTAGATCTTACCTGTTAAAACATTTCTCAAAGTCAGTGACTGCGGCTTTTTCCTGAAGGTGTTTCCCTGAGAAGTTTCCATTGGGTCTTTGTTTGAGGTCTTTCCTGGAGGTCTACTCTTGAGGTCTTTCCTGAAAGTCTTTCCATGACATCTCTCTGTCAGGTCTTTCCTTGTTCTTTGTTTGTGGTCTTTCATTGAAGTATTTGCTTGATATTTTCTGTCAAGCCTTTTCTAGAAGTCTCTTTATGTCTCACCCATCAGGTGTTTGTTGAGCAGAAGGGCCTGTTCTCAGGTGGTCTTGACACTTTCTCGAAAGTCTTTGCTTAAGGTTTGCCCCACAGGCTTTAACCTCCCGATCTGGTGTTTGCCAAGTTCTTTCGCTTAAGTCTCTCCATCAAGTCTTCCTTCTGAGACATCCTCAGGATCTTCGCGTTGAAAACATTCCTCAAGGTTTCTGCTTCAAGTCATTTCCTGTGGTCTCTTCCTGAGGCATTTCTTTGAGGCTTTCCTTTAGGTCTTTGCTGTAGGTCTTTCCCAGAATTGCTTCTTTGGTTCTTTTGCTTCTGGTTTTCCTTGAGGTCTTTGCTGAAGATCTGACCTTCAGTTGTTTGCATAAAGGTTTTCCTTGAAGTCTCTCCACGGGGGTCATTGCTTGAGATCTTTTCTCGAGGTTGTCCTTGACCTTTCCCTTTGTAAGAATCATCGCGATGCTTTAGCGTGATCGTTTCCTGAGGTCCACCATGAAGTCTTTCCCGAAAGCCTGTCCATTGGGCTCATTTCTTGAAGTCTTTGAATCAAACCTTTCCATCGGGTCTTTACTTGAGTTCATTTCTTTCGGACGTCCTCTGTCTTTAATAACACTTTCCTCAAGGTGGTTTTCTAAAATCCTTTCTTCGAGATCTCGCTTTGAGATCTTTCCCCAAAGACCTCCTGTCGAGTTGTATCCTAGTGCACAAGGACACGCGACTGCGGTCAGTCAGTCAGTCGTGAAGTCCGAAAGAGGTTTAGCGGGGGAAGAGAGAAACAAGGACTTGTAAGCTGGAAGCCGAGTGTCTCTCCTGGCTTGGCAGTTGATTTCTTTCGCAACCTCGCGCCTCAATTTGTCGGTAGATTTAATTATTGATACGTCCTCTCGGGGAAGAGTAGAATGTCATGTATAATGTGAGTGGTGTACATTAGCGCCGAAATGATCCCCCCCCCCCCCCCCCCCCCCCCCCCCCAAAAAAAAGGTTTTTTTTTTTTTGCACACTTTTAAAAAA